TAAGTTGTCTGTACAAATGGAGGCCGGGTGTGCTCATCGATCCATATATGGTTCAGTGTATGACTGTTGACCAAGTCAGTAATCATTTGTAGCTACACACAGCAGTGAGGGGTATTATTGTGGTAATGGTGACAGGATATTGCCTTTCCAAATTGAAAAAAAAATGATTTGATGAAATCCCCCCCCCCCACCTTACACCCCTTTGCCAATGTTAAGGGGGGGTGCATCCCCATGGAAGTAAATACATCCAGGGATGGATCCAGCATGATCTGGTAGGGGGGTGCTCTGCCAGCTCTGGTGCCGAGTTGTGTCGGTCATGTGTGCCATCCGCCCATCAACTTGCTTCACTACTGCAAAGTCCTGCTTGACTACTGTATTTAAATTGTAATTGTTGTTCACATTTCACTTATCATCATGTTATTACTCAAATTACTGTATATCATTTTGTCTCTAATAATTATTTGCTTTGTCATGAAAAATAGCACCCCCCCCCCTGCACCCCCATCCCTGAATACATCTCTGCAGGAATGCAAGAAGAATTTGGCTTCTTTTCCCCCATGAAAACTTAATCCCCCATGTCAGGATAATTTTGGTGTTTAACATTTTGATATTTTCTAACTAAAGTGTTACTGCAACAAATTTTCTGAACCCTTGTTTATTAGCTTAAATAAATATTCAATCTTTCAGAACTAGCAATTTATCATGCTTTGTCATTCTCAGTCTGGCTTTCATATGAACAGGCGTTAAAAACACACATTGACATGACAACTATCCTTTTCTTAATACCAAACTGACAAGGTTTCCAAAACTCAGCCTGAGGGCTGAGAGCAAACATATTTGAGCTTGTTGAACAGACTAAATGCATATTTCACTGATGTCTGAATTTATAAAACATTGCATACTTTTATTCCATAAATCCTCTACTTAGGCTATCCAACAAGTCCCATTCTTTGCCCCTTCACAACAAAGAAACACATGATACCAATTGGATTTATTTATTGCCCTTCAAATAACTATGTGCCCACATTTATTCAATTAGTATTCATGGTAAATCATATTGTCAACATATAAAATAATATTGAATTTGTTGTGCTTGCCTGTAATTAGCATATATGAGCACACTTATATATCAGTTTCAGTTCACAAATTACCTGCCCAGTCTAAAAAATATTGTCAAATGGCCCAAACTAGCTTGTGGGAGATCTAACCATGCAAGCCCAGTATTACCCAGTATTACCCATTAGCCATGGGCTCCATGAAAGGGCCTGTTTATAAAATCCCAGCTAGGCAGGATGAGGCAGTTTCCAATATCCTGACTATCATATCAACTTGTGTTCAAAAATACATGTATATATTTGATGAACTCACTCACGAACATGTATAAACATGACATCCTAGCTGCCTGGCAAGGTTTCCCACTTTCCCACCTGACAGGATCATATAAACATGTCTTAATATTAAAATAAGCCTTTTAAATACTGCAATATCCTACATACTAATATACTATATGTCACAAGACTTTGCAAAATAACATTTTCTACTTTCCTGGCAATATGTCAGACCAGCCCAATAATAAACACATCCAGGTTTATTGTAAATATAATTATAAATGTCCAACTGAATCAGCAGAATACTAGCAGAAACAGGGAGGGTTTCAAAGGACTAGGCCACCTAGCTAACTAAGCTAAAAAAAGAAAGGTTATTAATTTTGTTCAGCCACACGCAAAATATTCTTTGCCCTTTCATGACCAAGAATCCTCAATGAGATATGTTATTTATAAACACAATATAAAAATATGCAACGGATTCGAAAAGACGAAAACATTCCAGCGACTATTATTCGTAGAGAGACTTCGGTTCGTGTCGTAAAAATCGTCGGAATTACTCTTCCCCAAAAAATGTCGCTTTAACCCATGTAGTTCACGTATAAATATCGTTGAACAGATCTTTTTAAGTGCACATATTTGCACAACGCCGACCTCGAACGCTTCAGCAATGCGCTTTAGCCATATTTAATTTATTACCTTTGTGTTAAATTTATGCATTATTAATACAAATTTATGCCCCCCAAATTTTGGGGGGCTGTAATGTGATTGGTCAATCAGAACAATGCCGAAGCTCATTGACCCAGCCGTTAAGTGGGCGAGTGGCGAGAACACAACGGCTGGAATCTGAGCCTAGGGGCATGCACCCCCAGGAAAATTTTGAAATTTAGAGTCCCTGAAATGTGATTTCAAGCATTTTGGGGGCGAAATCTTGCAGAATTCCGAAGATTATAAAGTACGCTCTAGGGGGGTTCGGGGGCATGCACCCCAGGGAAAATTTTAAAATTTAGAGTCCCTGAAATGTGATTTCAAGCATTTTGGGGGTGAAATCTTGCAGAATCCCGAAGATTATAAAGTACGTCGAAGACATAAATTTTCCCAGACATTTCTAAGTTTCTACTCGCTTTTATATATGATACAGAATAAGTCTGAGAAGAATATTCATGTTATCATAATGCATATACATGTAAATCTAAACTAAATCTATTCCTTTTGGAACCATATCTACAACTGTTTTAACGAGATTTTAGAAATCAAGTTCTTCCAGTATTTCGTCGTTTTCCTCCGTCGAGACGTACTTAATCCGTTTCAGCTTCGAGGATGTAACGTGTACCCCCCCCCCCATTTCTCTACGGATTTAGCCTTTTTCAGAGAATGTTTTTTTGCGATTGGGGGGGGCGACCGCCCCCCCTTGCCCCTCTTGGCTACGCCCCTGTTATGTAACTAACCCAAACCCTACCCCTACTCTAACCCCTAACCTCAACCCTAACTCTAACCCTAACCACAGTATACCCTAACCGAATTAATAAAAAAATCCAAAAAGAAACGACTTTACAAAATCGATAGGGCGGTTTGCTGGATGGAAAAAAGTGCTAACCGTAATATTACAGCTCAGTCAGTGAAGTTTCCCAAATCCCAAAGTTTCCTGGTGATTAAGGATTTGCAGTGAGATTTGTCAATGGATTTGTGAATTTGTCAGTGATGTCGATTAGGTTCCAGTTCACTTCGTGGCCAAATCCAAGATGGCGGCCAATGTGAAATGTCAGGATTTTTGGATTTAGAGTGATTTAGCCCTTTTTGAATATTTGTATACTAATTTACTAGTTTGGGAATGGGTCTCGTAGGAAAAGTCTTGGTATTAGTTGGATTGATGATAATAATTCACGCGGGATATTCGTCAGAGCAATGTAAGTGTGAAAAAGTACATAGAGACAGAGTGTCAGATTTTGACATTTTCTGGCACATTTTCTACTGTTGACTAACTTTTGTTCTTGTATCAAGCAGTAACATGTAACGTTTATTCAATATTTCATTGCTGTTTGTAGATAGAACATATTTGAAGCTTATTGAAGAAGAATTCACTTCCCTGCCAAAAGATGTAAGGGAATGTTCATTATTTATGATTTGGGGGGTGGCATTTCACACCTCCTCCCTCCTAATATCTACATCACCCCCCTCTGGCAACACCAAAACTCACATGACCCCCCCCCCTGCAAGAAAAGACCCAGGGTGCATTCTACATAAGTGGCCTATGCCAAAGATCTTCGGCGTGAGTTTGGCAAATTACAATACT